AGTGGATACAATTCCTCATGCATAATTCTTGCATTTTAAAAGTCCACATAGCAGGGAAGAAGTGAAAGGGGTTAAAATAATAATATTATAATAATAATATTAATAAAATAAAAAAGAACTCATAAACTATGTCCCAAGTGCTGTTCTAAGCACAGTAAAAAAAACCCTATCCATTGGGTAGATACTAATACAGTCCCATTCTCCAGGTGGGAAAATGGAGGCACTTAACCTGCCCAAGGTCCTACAACTTAAAAGTGGTAGCAGCAGGACTTTAACCCAGGCTGTCTGGCTCCAGAGTCCATATGTTGAGCTGCCCAGCATACTGCAGGCGCCGGCCACAGTGCAGTGGGTCCACTGTTAGGGTAGGGGTAGGAGCCTGCCTCTGCCTACTTAGTCAGGGACTGAGATCAAGTTTAGTGGTCACCCTTGACGGATCATATGTGATGACTCTCATTTTGAGGAAACAGAGGCTTAGAAAATTAAGAAATGTCCAGCTGGTCAAAGGCAGAACCAGGATTTAAACCTAGACCTTGTAGTTCTAGAACCTGTGGCCATTCCTGGAGGTTCTCCTGCCTCCAGGTTCTCAGAGACTCTGTTTCTCCCACACCTCTAATCCCTGCCTGCGTCCTGGGGAGGGACTGAGTGTGCATTCCTCTTTGTGTGAAGGCTGAGCCCGCAGGCTGGCCTGCAATAACATGCTGAAGAGAGGATATGTCTCTACAGCCCAGATGGCAAGATATTTGAAGGCAGGGGCTGTGTGGAGTAGGTTCATGTTTTTCTTTTTCCTGAAGCCCCAGGTCTAACTGTGTATATGGGGCACTGAGTACACAATAGAAGAATGAATGAATGAATGAATGAATGAGTAAAGCTTTCTCCCACTTCCTGTGTCTTACAAAGCATATGTAGAGCCAATTTCTAGTCCCACATTTGCAAACCTGCTCCCCCACTCCTGGGCACCATGCCACGGTTCCCCTGGGAGACTGGTTGGACACAACACCCCTTCTTTTTACACCCTGGAGTGGCCTCCTTTGTCAGAAGATCCTACCCACCCTGCAACCTGCAGCTGTCAGCCTGCCCCACCTCTTGCCCTTCATTTATTTGGGAAATGCTGATTCATTGGGTCATCAGCCTCTGCCAAGACAATTAGGGAGGGAAAAGAGGTAGAAAAAAATCCCAGATATTTGGCCAAAGGCAAAAGGAAGTGCTTCTGTGTTTGTCCCTCATTTTTCCCTCAACGCCCATACCCGGACAGTGAAAGTTACCCCAGATGAATATTGGTGTGCTGGAGAAAGGCCACATACAAGCTCAATGCCCTACTCCGTGTCAAGAACACTGGTTTGAAGATCAGAAGACTTGAGCCAAAACTACCCAACTCGGTGACCTCTCCTTCCCTGTCTGGGCCTCAGTTTCTCCACTTAAAAAAGAAGACTTGGGATGTAGGCTTTTCTCTAAGTTCCTTCCACCACTAACATTATTGGAAATCATGTCTTACCCACTCTGTGTATCAGATTGTTCATCTAGTAACTAAAAGTAATCATTCTCATCCTTCTATTCGCATGAGGGAACTTGGAACAATTAAGATGTTCATTAAAGATGCACAGTAAACTCCCCCAGAGTTCCTGTGTCATGAGGGGAAACTGAGGTGTGGAAAGCCTGTATTTCCTGTGGAGGCCCTGAAACAGTCCTGGCCTGTGCAGCTCCCTCCTTAAGCTGCCTTCATCCCCTTCCGGTCTGCCCCAGAAGATCCGGGGTACTGGAACTGACACGCCTTGACCAGGGTATCCCACAGCTTACCGGAAGCCTGCTTTTCTTGGTCAAGTCAGCAGGAGTGTAAATATTGAGGTAAAGACAGTCTTCGGAAACCTTGAGAGGAATGTTCTCCTTTCGGTTGGTCAATAGGTCTGAGATAGACTGCCCCGCCTTGGGATCCTGGGAACATCTGGGGAGGGGGAGAAAAGAACCCCTGAAGTTCAGTGGGATCTAAGCCAGGCATCTTCTTTGGCAAGGCCTTGGACTGGGAGGTTTAAGCCTGAAAATGGACTTGATATTTACAGACTTACCACATTGTAGTGAGTAGGAGGCTATCAGGCGCTTCAGGTGGGGGCGCTGGGATTCACTAAGGTCTCCTAAGACCAAGCAGAGTGAGAAGGGCTTCACACCTCTTTCCTTCCCGGAGCCTTTGGGACTCCCAGCATCAGGGAGGGGAGACAACAAATACACTGATCCTCCCTGGGAGGTGACATTTCCACCAGTAGCTCAGGGGTAAAATCTTTGTGGGACAACATCAGGAGAACTGTGCTCTAGTCCTCTCTCTGCCACTTATTTGCAGTATGACTTTGGGTGAATTCCTTTCGCATTCTGGGTCCCAAATCTACCAGGTCTAAGTGAGAGCAGTGATTTCTACATGGGTCTTGCAGCCCTGACACGCCAAGATTCTATCATCTGGCTCTTCCAGGAAAGTGCTGTTGCATTGCCCTGATAAACGATCTCAAGGATACAACATAGATGAACATTGGTAATATTTATTGAGTCCTCCCAGTGTTCCAGGCACTGTTTTAAGGACCTTTTGTATATTAACTCATTTAAGCCTCAACTCAGTCCCATTACATAGGTTCTATTATCTCCATTTTACAAATGAGAAAACTGAAACCCAGAGAGGTTAGAGAACCTGACCAATGTCATATAGCCAGGAAGATTCATGCCATGTGGTTCTTATACACAAGTGTATTATAAGCCACAGTCTCAGACCTCAGAGTACCAGAAGGCAGGTGTCACCACCCCCAGTAGGTACATGAGGAAACTGAGGCACTCAGGCTCTGAGATGACACAGCTGTCAAGTGACAGAATCAGAGCCCCAGCAAAGATGACTTCTTGATTTCCATCCTGGGAGATTTTTCTACAGAACACCAAGTACAAGCAGCATAACAATAATAATAATAATCAAAAGACATTCCAATGTGAAGACAGGGAAAAAGAACTCAACTCCACTGGTTATCAGATAAAGGCAAATTAAACAGCAAAATAATATTGCTGTTATTGTTATTATTATTTACCTATCCAATAGCCAAAACCATTTTTTAATAATCCCAAGCATTGCCAAGAGGGCGCCAAATGGAGATTTTCATACATCAATGGTAGGAGTGTAGTTAGAATATTTTGGGAGAGAAATCAAACAAGAGATATATACTCTTTGACTCAGAAATGTCATTTCTGAGAAGTTATCCAAAAATATTCATAAATATGCATAAAAGTTTCACTTTCATTATGTTATGTTATTAAAAACATCATATGTAACTTAATGAACCCAAATACAAGCTTGGGGAAAATTAATTATGGTTCAATACCCAATGTAATGCAGCTGTTAACATCAGGCTGTGCTATATCATGGGATGGAATGATGCTCATGACATACTTATAAATGAGCAAAGCAGATATCCAAATTATCTCAATGTAGCATTGTATTTTAAAGGGAGAAAGTATAGCAACAGACAAAAAACTGGAATACAAACAAAATATTAGATCATAATATTTTACCACCTAAAATATTGATAGTTGTTCTCTCTGGGTGCTGGGATATTGTATGTGATTTTAATATTCTTACTTTTCCTTCTCCGAATTTCCCAAATTTTCTGCAATAAGTATATATGACATTTGCAGTCACAAAATAAAAACAGTAAATTATAAAACAAAAACAAAGTAAAGAAGATAGCCACAGGTGGACTGTTGGAAAACCTCCAAATGCCTGGCTACTGAGATGAGTGGGGTCTGCTCTGATGCCTGTAGGGTCCTTGGTACCCTGGGGAGTGGCGGTGAGGCCAATTAGAACCTTTGGGCTTTTCTTCCCAACTTGGCCAGGGTGAATGGACACATCTGCCATCGTTCTCCTCAGGAATAGGGAGTTGGGCACACTTGAGAGTTGAGCACTAGCCGAGCGGACATCTCAGTACACTTGCCACCCACACACCTCCTGGCCCACCCCTCTAACCAACTATGTCAAAATTCAAGACAGTGGAATTCATGGGATTCTTCTTTCTGATCCCCCTCACCTGCTTAACTGCTTCTTTGTTTCCAAGGCACTTATCCCGTTCTAACAGATCACACAATCCATGGGTTAATTTGCATGTTGTTCTTCTCTGTCTCCCGCTGCTAGAATGCACGCTCCATGAACCTAGGGATCTTTGCTTTGTTCACTAATGGATCTCAAGAACCCAGAACATGCCTGGCACACAGTAGGTGCTCAATAAACGTGTGTTAAGTAATGGACTCCAGAATGCTGTGAGAGTTCTGGAATGCTCTTAAGGGTCTACAATGATCTTAAGGATTCCAGAGCAAAGGATCAGCCCATCAGGGGAACTGCCTTGACTCCTTCCTGCATCACTTTGAGGTGAACATCCCCCACAGACACATGCCACAGCCACCCCTGGCTTACATAGGAGGGTAAGAGGTGGCATTCTTCACGAAGCTCCATGGCTCTGCAGGCTGCGGTGGAGCAAACCTCAGGGGTCCAAGAGGGGGCTTGGCAAAAGGGATTCCGAGGAAAACGGCCACAGGCTGTGCAAATCCTTCTAAGCTGACGAACTTCCCCAGCACTTTGCCATGCACGGTGTCCACCACAGGTGGCGAGGACGGGTGCCCTGCTGGATATGGAGAACAAATCAAGATGCATCAGAGGCAAAAGGCTGGACCCGGATTCCAGGTGGGGTTTGCCACTTTCCAAGTGAGTGACCTTTAAAAAGTCATCTAAACCGTCTAGGTCTCAGTTTCTGTTGATGTACCATAGGGATGAGGATCAATGTCCTCCCTAACTCATCGAGCCGGTTTAAGGAACCAAATTAGAATTGGAGGCATAAAAACATCCAGCCAAAAATAAATGCAAGAAGGAGAACTACTAGGAAAGAACTAGATATTTGGCTTCCCCCTTAGAAGCCTCTGGAAACATTTATCCATTAGAATCCTGGCACTGAGCCGCATGCTGGATGAGAGGATGAACAAGGGGTACCCCATATTCTCAGAAGCACTGACCCTTGTAAGGAAGGGTCACATATAGACCTGGGCCTACAGCTGGGAAGAAAGTGGCCGTGTCCTGGGAGAGGTACCCATAAGGCAGTCTAGAAATTAGAAGAGGGCTCAAGGCCTTCTGATTGTGGGCATCATGGAGGAGCTGGGACTTGCGGTAGGGGAGGATTGAATCAGGGGAGATGAGACGCAGGGGGTTGTACACAGCAGAGAGAAGAGAATGTGCTGAGGTGCAGAGCAGCAGAATGCAGAGCCTGCCTGGGGAAGGAAGCATGGCCCACGTGCACCAGGTGGAGTCTGGGGAAAGTGGAAAATATTCCTGTTATGACAGAGCACAAGTCAGGGAGGGCCTAGAATGCCAGGCTAAGTGCTTGAGTTTTCTTTAGTGGACAAATAAGCAGCAGGAACAGTTCCAGATAAAGGATGTGATCAGGTCGAGGATGATTCTTCTGGTGGCCCTGGGCAAGTCTGCTCCATTCTTGCAGCACAGACAACGCTTCCTCTCTGAGCTGAAATTCATTTCCCACAGCCTTTGCATCAGTCCTGGTTCTACCTGTCATGGGACTATACTGGCCTGATCTGACCTGCAGCTTGTGGCCTTTCAGACACTTGATCTTGCTGCCCACCCCTCAGGTCCTATCTGGCTCCAGTGACCTCAGTTGATCTAAGCTTCCCTCCTAGGAAATCATTTCCAGCCTCTTGTCCTCCCAGCTGCTCTGCTTTGGATACAGACAAGACGTCAACACCTCCCTCAAAGCGTGGGGCTAGAACAGAACAGAACAATTCGGATTTGGTCTTAAAGGGGAATATCCAATCACAATGGAAACCCCTTATGCAAAGCCCAGTTACACAACAGCATCCATGTGTCATCTTATCAATAGTCAACCCT